CATTTTGTAATGATATCTTTAATTCTCTAATTTCGGTGAATATTTTTGTAATTTTTGGTAAAAAGTGATATTTTCGACTTCTTGTTGAAAACCGCAAGTCCAATTGCTTTGATATTACATATATAGGTACTACATGTGAACCTCTCTCAGATTTGTTCATTTTGTGATGATATCTTTAATTCTCTAATTTTGATGAATATTTTTGTAATTTTTGGTAAAAAGTGATATTTTCGACTTCTTGTTGAAAACCACAAGTCCAATTGCTTTGATATATTATACATATAGGTACTACATGTGGACCTCTCGCAGATTTGTTCATTTTCTAATGATATCTTCTGTTCTTTAATTGCCATGTGCATTGCTAACAGCGGAGCTATCTCAGCCGACAGGCTGCTTGTTTTTTAATTTCACAAAAAAAGTATAAATAATTATAATGCCTAGAGTATGAACCAAAACAGCCTCTGTGACTGCAGTGTACAAGTAACATCAAGTGTATTCACATGTAAAGGCAAAAACAATCACATAAATGGAGCACCCTTTCATGATGTTTGCCACAGTTGTGTGTCCATTTTCATCTAGAGTTTATGAATATTCATATATGTTGATGGGCCTCACAGTTTAAATATATTGCAGACTGAATTACTTGGTCTTTAATTTCACAACAAATACATTTGTACTGTAAACAAAGTACAATTTCATGAGAGGAAAATTTTCGCCTGTGAAATACTACATGAAACACCCGACTGTTAGGCATATTGATGGTCTTTCATTGTGTTTTCTTTGCAGTCAATTTTTTTGGGTTAAAAGTAATTTAGTCTGCAATTATTTACGACATGTATTTGTACTTAAGCTGGTATAGCTACGATTTTATTTATTAGTAGATGCGAGATTGTTGAGTTTCATCAGTATGTACTTCATAGATAAATATAGTGCATATTTGAAAGTAGCATGAGAAACAAAAATGTATGATATTGTGCACAGTATTCCAAGTGTAACAGAAGACGTTTTTGTGTACCTGTATTATCACAGTGGCCACTAAGGAAATAAACAGTATTTTTCCGGCAATCAGTCGGTAGAAAATTCTTATTGAAATATGAGTAGATGTAGATGTAGAATGTTACCTGGTGCTGGAGATATCTGGAAACACATACATGTGTAAAACAGTATCGTATAATTTGAGTATAATGACTCTGTTGTTGAATGTGCATGTGACCGATGCTTGTTGTCTCAGCCATGATCTTTGTTGCATTTTGGTGAAAAAATGAGAAAACATTTTACAGTACC